CTTGCGTGTGTACTGCTTGGGTGATATCTCTGACCTCTTGACTTCTACCATATAAACATACTGGTTATTTGTGAATACAAATACTAAACTAGGTATGCATGTAGACCAGGGGTAGGCAATTATTTCATCTGGAGGGCTGCTAGTGCTTACCTAGTTTTGGCAAGCTGTAGAGGACCGCATGGGTTTCCCTGCCACTTGACAGTTGCCCTTCCCCCTGGTCACCATGTTGGTACCAGAATCCCTTTTCCTTGCCCCTGGAAGTACACCTTTCAGCAAGGGGGTTTGCCTTCTTGGAACCAAATACATACCAAATTATATTCTAAAAATCAAATATCTACTACAACATTTATTAATTTGATCTCAAGAAATATTTTTGTCCTGATTTACATGTGTTTGTGTAGTACATACAGAGGTGGCTATATAATAGCATAAAATGAAGTCTTACTCTTGTATGTTGTGGGGGTTTGTGGGGGGTCTGGGTGGATGGGTATAGGTTTATGGGCAGCTATAGGTGTGTGGGTATGTGGGTATGGGGAGGATTTGAGGGGGTAGAGAGGTGGGGTGTGCGTGTGTATGGGGTTGGGGGGGGTGTGTGTATGTAGGGTGTGTGTATCTGAATGTGTGGGTGGGTATGGAGTTTGTGAGGGGCTGTGAGTGTGTGGGTTGGAGGGTGGCTGGGGAAGGTTGTGGCATATGTGGAGGGGGAGGGTGGCTGGGAGTGTGTGAGGGGGTGTGGGTTGTGCGTGTGTGTCGGTGTGAGGGAGGGTGTGGGTACATATGTATGGTTGGATGTGCATGTGGGACTTGCCCTATGAACACACACACACACCCCCTCCCACATTGCCCACAACCCCTGTCACTTCTTCATTCCCCTCCCCTCTTCCCCCATTCACCTCTGGCACCATGCAGTTCCCAGCTGCATGGCCCAAGACTACAGGATGCAGCAGGATCTGGCTCCTGTTGAGTCCTGCAGTCCTGGCGATGCAGTTGGGAACCACATGGTACCAGAGTTGCTGGTGGGATGGGCTAAGGAGAAGCAGCAGCTGGGGCGGGGAAATGGTAACTGTGGCAGGTGGGGGGGCGGCTGGCAGTGAGCAGGTGGCCAGGTATGAGTACAGTGACAGCTGAGCGGGAGCACAAGGCTGTGCTGGTGTCCCAGGACCAGGGCTGATGGGGGCCTAGAGTGAGGCAGCAGGAGCATAGGCTGGCAGGGGATCTATGGAGCTGGGCCAGTTCCCCCCTCCCCCTGCTGGAGCAGCCCAGGCCCCATGCTTCTGCCTCCCTGTTCTGGGCCCCTGCTGGCCCTGGCCCTGGGGCACCAGCATGGCCCCTGCACTCCCACCCAGTTGTTGCTACACTCACAACCACCCACCCACCTGGTTGCTACCACTCACCCCCCCACATGCCACTGCCTTTTCCCCACTTTCATGCCCACCGCTGCTACTTCTCTCCACCCCACTGCCTGCCCTCCTGCTCACCACTTCAGCACTACATGGTTCCTGGATGCATCAGCAGACTGCAGGATGCAACAGGAGCCAGCCTGGCCTGGCCCAGGCCCAAGGACTGGAGCAATCACTGGCAGTCCTCCCCTCTTCCCTGTGTTCTGTGCTGAGTTGCACTCCCGGATGGAGGGAGGCGGGGAGCAGTCCCAGGACGCCAGACAAGAAGCCTCTGCTAGGCAGGAGCTTCCAGCTGGGGGTGGGGTGGGGCCGGACTGGCTTTGCTGCTGCAGCTGCTGGGTCCTGCTGCTGGCTCCCCCTGGGTCCTGCTGCCTCTGGTGCCTTGTGATCTTTGACAGGCATCCAGCCACAGATAATAATTAATTTTCTAAATTTTTTAAGGGCCCCACGGGCCTGATAGAATTGCCTGACAGGCTGTATTTTGCCTGCTCCTGATGTAGAAATTAGAAATATAAAAGTATGAAACCACAAACGTAGCCACTTTTTACATCAGATCCCATTGGGGGCTTTTTTCCTTTTTTTGATTGACCACTTATTTTGTAATAGGAAAACATGAGCATTTGTGAAATGCTATTCACCTTTCAGTGAAAGTACTGTGTGTTCTCCTGTGATCTCCTTGGTGTCTCGGGATGTAAGGATTCTCAGAGTATAGTCCATGAGCTATGCCCTTGCATGCTTTTGTTCTTCTCCTTAATATATATTCTTGTTGCCAAACACCACCATGTACCATACTCAGTAGCTGCCACATAGACAAGCTTGCAGTAGATATTTTTGGACAGATCCATTTCCCTTTCCTCATTTATGCAGGTTAGGTGCCAGCATTTAATGAATAAGCAACTCAGAGCTGCGAAAGTTTCTCAAAACACTTCTGTGTAGGCTACAAACACTTGGAGACAGAATCTCCAAATTCACAGCTCTAAAAATAAACATGGCAAAGCTGTGGAAACATCCAGGGGTTTTGCAGCATAATGCCCAGTTTTAGATAAAATCTTTAGACTCCTTTCACGCAGACCCAGAACATAACTGGAACTCTGTTCTTCCAGCTCCAAAACACAAGTCTCTTCTATGTAAGGTCTTTGACACCTGGCAGGCTGGGGAATTAGGACTACTGTATGTGAGGCAAGCCTTGGAGAGCAACATTTTACCCTTACCCAAAGCCAGGACATTAATTACACAAAGCCACTACATTCATTACACGTTACACAAAACCAGTACATTAATATGCCTTAGCATCCAAAACAGCCATTATCTTATTGCTGGCACCCTCATCTCCCCTTCCCTGTAAATATTTATCTTCGTGAGTCAGGTTTCATCTTAACTTAGATCCCCCATCCTGCTAAGTGTCTTGGTCAGGTTGTGAATTCACTTATGTTCCAGTGACTTGGAGGATCTCATTAGCGTCTGGCTGTAGAGAACCCCACAGAT